GTCCATTCCAGATTATAATCTTTGCAATTGGTGAAAATGTAATCTTTATTCCCGTTTGTGACACTGTGGAGGCCTAAAATACGGGAACCAATCAGAAATGGATTCAAATTGTCTTGACTCTCAGTATAAAGGGACTCTAGGCAAAACCCGTACCCTCCTGACGTCACAACGCTTCAAGATGGCAGCCAAAATCGAAATGCGACCACCATTCTTTATCCGCCTTGGGTCTATTCCAGGTCTATTCCATCATTCCATCGAAATTGAGGTTAGGGGTTTTCTTTTGTTTACGTGCTGTGCGTGCTCCTCACTCGTGGGTTGCATAGGAAACTCCAACTCCGTTGCATAGTCGGTTGTTGTAGTTGATCAGGTATTGTACAAGTCAGGGTCATTCAGCGTCCTGAAGCACTGACTAGCACTAACTTTCGAACTAAAATTTCAAAACGATCAAAGAAGTACGTCCTATCAATTGATAAAAATGAAAATCAGTGTCAAAATTATCAAAGGCAGTGAATGTACGATAGAAGTAAGTTACCTTTTTTGTTTCTTGAATGGCATTAATATATCCTTTCAACTTTTGAAGAGGCAAATCCATAGGAAATTTAGTCCACCACTTTTTTAAGGTGATTTGCCCCTCTATCTTGGCGTGCACTAACTGGCAGATTTTGTGTTTTTGGCCAAATGAGGGACAACTCATATTCTGTCTAATTTCAAAGGACCCCGCACACCTCTTATGGGAAGCTGCACGACGACCGATTGCCTTCTGACTTATGTTTTTCGATTCTCCACAAGATGCTGATCAAAAGTTATAATTGCGCCAACTTTCTACGATGCACCGTTTCGCAAAAAACCTAAGAGAGGATTCAATTATTCGGCGACTATGAATACAAAAGAACAAAGCATTTAAGGACAGGCCCGATGTAAATAAGGAAAAAACGTAGCGCGTGTCCGTCTTCTTATCTGTACCTGCCGACTCAGAGGCTATCTCTCTCCCGCACTCGCCTGGTAGACGTTCAGACTTTCCTGTTCTTATGCTCCTCAAGAATCTGATTTGGATGGTCGAGCAAAACGGCGTGCGGAATCCGAGATAAGACTGCCGCTCAGTGCGGAAGTTCCCCTGATTTGTTCACTCGAGCACTGAAATGAGGAATCTTTCTGGCTTTTTATCACCGAGTAATTGAATCTTCTCTTAGGTTTTTTGCGAAAACGGTGCATCGTAGAAAGTTGGCGCAATTATAACTTCTGACCAGCATCTTGAGGAGAATCGAAAAACATAAGTCAGAAGGCAATCGGTCGTGGTGCCGCTTCCCATAAGAGGTGTGCGGGGTCCTTTGGCCCACCCCCGTTTAAAGTACTAATCCTGATAAGTCATAGAGAAAAAAAAGGAGGTGTTTGCATTTCGGGCAGCTTGGAATTTTTTTGATGACGTACGGTGGTACAGCGACTTTTATCATCGATTTTCTTGGAAATGGTGTAATTTATGGAAAAAAGTCATTCCTGAAAATGTGCTTGAAATTGTAGCAAAAAAAAGCCAAAAAATGGGACATTATAGTCCGTTTTTCATACTTCGAATTCCGGATTTCGCTGGCCAGGTTGTACCGACCTACGTCACAGGGTAAACAAACCTCAAGATGCAAACACCTCCTTTTTTTTCTCAATGCTGATAAGTAAGAGACAGACCCCCCTACACAAAACATCAGGTTCTTTAATTGACGTAGAGGCTTGGGATAATGCATTTTCTCATATAATTTGGAGCTCCAAAGAATCTGTAATTAACCGTCTTGGAGCCCCCAAGACTATCCTGAAGGGGCCTGACTTTTGAAAGTAGACGAAAACTGTAAGCCAGATCTCCAAACCTTTCTCTCCCATAACTAACCATAATTCATGACCATTGCAATTTTGTTGAAGATTGTCCTGTGGTGAGTACATTGGCTAGCCATCAAAAATTTGTCAGCTACTTTGGCTACTCTCGCTCGAAAGGCATTTTTTAAATCTCTCTCGCACATCTACAGAAAGTGACTAAAGTTGATTGAAAGGTTTCACTCATTTTAGGTGTAATTCTTGCCAGAAATAATTATGTTTCATAAATCACTCCAGGAAAATGTCTCAACTAGTGCTCAAGAATTTTCTCTCGAATTTCTGGTCTTCTGTGTGTCTGAAAAGAATGATTATAATTACAGTGATTTTTCTGAGATTGTAAAGTTTTTCTCTGTTGAAACTGTCTTTATATCTTCACCTATGGCTTTCTTCAGAGTCTTGTACCTGAAAGCTTTAAAATTTTGGTCATCGTTTTGATCAATGAAGAAACAAACAAGGACAGTTTGCCCTTAAGGTGATTCGATGGACGCCATATTTTGTGTCAGAACGGCATGCGATATATCGCATCAATTGGTTCCATATTTTCGGCTACTCGTCATTTTTCTCCTATTTTGAGATCGCACTTCTGTTGTCAGGAGTCTAAAGCACTCACTTACCAATTTTAACAAAGAAATTCAACTTAATAAAGGCGTGGTTTTTTCAGAGAGAAAATATCGCATTTGAGTGCAGTTTCGATATCAGTATCGAATGCGATGTTTTCTCTCTGAAAAAACCACGCCTTTATTACGTTGAATTTCTTTGTTAAAATTGGTAAGTGAGTGCTTTACACTCCTGACAACAGAAGTGCGATCTCAAAATAGGAGAAAAATGACGAGTAGCTGAAAATATGGAACCAATTGATGCGATATATCGCATGCCGTTCTGACACAAAATATGGCGTCCATCGAATCACCTTAAATACTATTTTAAAATTTTAAGAATAGGTACATCAATTTATTGTCAAAACCACATGCATTTGGACTAACATTTCAACTTCAACTACTTGTTTTTTCATCACAGATTTTTGTTAGTTGTTCAAATGTTCACAAGCAGAGTGAAAGTTCCAAACGACTGAAGGTTCTATCACTGGAAACAGTTGTTCATGACCTCTTAGGTGGCTCACAAGTTGATTGATGTGACATGCAGGGTAGAGTACCTGTATAGTGAGAGCATGGACAGCTTGCTTCCAATGCACTCTCTACTACAGAAATGGACAAATGGAGTTTTAGAATGTTGTCGAAACACAAAGATTTGACAGTGTCCAATGGTGACTGCGATGCTATATTGAAAACTTGTTTACTTTCTGTTCTGAGAGTGGGTCTCATCAATTTTGTGTTATTTTTTCATGTTCTTAGTTAAATTTTTCGTTATTTTGAGTCGTATCAATTTTTTAAATTCATCTGATAGCTTATTGAAGCTACCAGATCTGCCAGGACCTCATTTTGAACTGCGCGGCAAAGGCGGTACGACTTGTGACGTCCCTCGATGGCCTATATTCTCAGCGCTGCCACTTTGGTACCCTGTTTGTTTATATCTGGAGAAGAGTGTACCTTGGCTTGCTTCATGGAAGGCTTAGATCCTGAAAGGGCAGTCACTTTTCCAATATAAAAAATTTCACTGCCAATCTTCAGATTCTAATAACCAACTCCGTTGGCCAAGAATGTTTAGAAATGACCAGTTTTCTGCAAAACTGAGTGACCTTATACAGAAACTAAGTCAAGTACGTACTTTACAAACGATGGATCGCAAGGAAAGTAATAATAAATTGTTCTGAATTATTTAAATTCATTGGTTGCCTGCCCCTTTGTGCTCTTTTGTATACCTGTCCATTCTCTCTGTATAGGTACTCAAGTTTAGGGCATCCTCTCCCCCACCGATTGCTGTTAGTGAGCTCTCAATGTCTTCTGTGAATTTGTGGTAGAAGTCGAAATAGCTGAATTTGCCAAACTAGGAATTGAAACTGTAAATTATTATTAATACTTTATCATTTTCCAATTAAGCTTCACAGGTACCCCCCTTTCCCCCTCCAAGCGTCTTAGTTCCAAAAATTTCGTTAGCATAAATTTCTATCTTCTACTCCCCCTGTTTTAGGTACAAGAAGACATGAGTATTGCAGAAATGAAACAGATCGTTTCCAACAATCTTCAAATCCCTGTGGCCAGTCAAAAACTAGTTTACCTTGGGAAACCATTGAGTAGTGAGTAACTTTAACAAATGCATGAGCATTCAGAATTAACACTAATAATATTGTAGATGAGCTATAAACATTCCAATTCGACAGAGTAATTTCCAAGGCACCTACCTTTTTTATGAACAACATAGTAATTGTTAGGATTCAAACATTTTGAACGGTCAAACTTGTCTTGATGAGGCACCATGTAGATTCTAAAAATCACTAACAATTTTTGAAAAAATATGAGATTCTATTTATGGTTTAATTTATCTTAATTTTACGATCAACTGTTGACCCATTAACGCATGAGATTACAGTAAAATAAATAATTAATCACTGGAGAGGGTGAAAAATTAAGCACCGAAATATGTCTCTCCTTACCAACTTTTTGTGCCGAACACGCTGGACACAGTTGAAAATTATGCATTCAATGTATTTGTCAGAAATGAGTAGGGGCTTGGAGGACAAGGTGCACATTGCACAAGTGCAGTTTTTGCCTTTTTGAGATATATGTATGTGTTTCAAGTTTCAAAAAAACCTGCGCTCCGCCTCGCCCCGCGCCGGTTTTTGGGGGGCTTCGTCCCCCCCCCCCCAGCCCCCCCGGAACGCACGCTTCGCGCGCGTCTTTCCAGGGTTATCTGCGCATTTAGCTCTTCTTCTTTTAAGTGTCCCGCGCACCCACCACGGGAAGGAAGTTTTTTTTCCGAAGTGGGATTTTTGTAGTCATTAAATCGTACGTCTGTAAGCCATGCATTGTGTAATGGATAGTTTTTTTCCAGATATTTCCTTTCCTTTGGCCGCTGTGCGACGAACAGTTCGTCTAAAAACTTTCTTCACCTGACCCACTGTGCGACGAAAATTTTGTCCAATAACTTCCTCCCCCTGACCCACTGTGCGACGAAAATTTTGTCCAAAAACTTCCTTTCCCTGACCCACTGTGCGACGAAAATTTTGCTCAAAAACTTCCTCCCCCTGACCCACTGTGCGACGAAAATTTTATCAGAAAACTTCCTCCCCCTGACCCACTGTGCGGCCCTGCTCCGGCCAGCTCTCCTCATGCCGCGCACCCCCCGCCTAAAACTTTCAAAGCTCGCCATTTTTAAACGGCTCAGCCGATTTAAGCTGCGTTGCTAAAGTCTCCAGAGAGCTCCCCGGAGTTACCCGGAGACGTAAACAACCGTTGTTCTGACTCCGGAGGAATTACCCGGAGACTTGCTACGTCATGCCACGTCAGTCTCCAAACTGCTGCTCTCCAGCTCTCCGACCTCTCGAGGTCGGGAGAGCTGGAGACCGATAGAGTACCTATATAAAGAGAGTATGGCTAGAGCACCTTTATAGACAGAGTATGGCCATTCGCATCTTTTTACTACAGGAAAACTGTTCCGCTTTTTGATTGGTCAACGAGTTTTTAGGCTTCATGATGCTCTTACGACCGTAAATAAACAAACAAGATGGCGGCTCACCGTAACATCGATAAGAAGATAAATTTGACAAAAATTTCAACTATAAGGCAGTAACAATTTAAACTAGCATATCTACGAATAACACACGAGAAACACATGAAATCATTGTTAAATCGCCTTTCACCTTTATCACAGGAGGATGTAAGATGTGCATAACCTCAAATTTGCTTGCTGAAAACGGCCATCTTGTTTGTTTATTTACGGCCGTAAGAACATTGTGTCAGCTTATTTTTTTCACGCGACCAATGAAAAACCGGAACAGAAATGGCCATACTCTGTCTATAAAGGTACTCTGAGTATGGCCACTGGGCCCCATGGAGAGGCTTAGGACCCAAAAATGGCGGTGCTTTGTTTTGGTTTTTGTGGATGGGAGGGGGGTCATTGCCAACTTTTGACGGTTATCACCAACCGCACTTGCTACCAACCTTGCTACATCTAGGCTTTCGCTCGAGTTATCGAGTGGACAAGATTTGACCTCCCCCCCTTTCGAGCCCCACCCCTCAAAATCTATTGCCTCAAATTTCATTTTTTTTTTGCAGAATAGTAGTTCTAATGAGTCTCTACTAATTGCAGAAAAATTGGTTTAAATATCTTTCAACGAACGAAAGATATAACTACTCAAAATTCGAAAAATCTTAAAAAGGTGGAAATACATACATATATACATACATGTAAATATACACATGAATTTGAATGGCATATATTTTCGTGATCTACGGCCCGTGATCGGTGCTCTCCACAAGGTTTCGGGTCTGAGCCCGACATCATGGGAGAGTGCAATAGTGTATTTTCTTCGGATAATACACTAAAAGTACATGGAGCCTTATGGCGTAGAGAATGCTCAAACTCTTTTTTTTATAAATGAGAGTGTATCTTTCACAAAATATATTTTAAGAGTCATTTTACTCAAAATCATTAGTATATAAATTTTTCAAAAACTGCATTTATGCACATTGTCCTCCAAGCTCCTCAAATGTCCCATCAACCTGAATGCATCAATCATCAGTTGGCATTGGTTACCACATAAAGCGTTGAATGGTGCCATTTGCCGATGTGACATCTGTTCATTCTTTTCTTCCTTCAGTTCTAAGGGACCAGGCTTTGCAAGGCCTGTTGTAGTTAATCAATAGCAAAACTACAATTGAGGTGTTCCTCAAAGCAAAAATTTTTCCAGTATGCTAATTTATAGGGACAATCCTACAAGTTTCCTATATTGGAGGAAAGAAAGTTTTTTTCTGAAACTGAACTCCAACTCTATAACAAACGAATTAATTTGTTTTCATCAGATGCCTTTACGCATGTTGAGTTCAGTTTGTCCTGCACGTAACGAGGATACATGTTTTGTGATACTTTGATTCTTACCTTGTTTATTATAAGTTCAAGTCTCAGAGCTGTCTCTACTGATCAATAATAAAAAATCTCTGAAGTCATTTTTATACCAAAAAGTAAATGGTTCTTCCGTTCTCTCTCTCTATTTCCTAATCAGATGAAAAACGTGTGAGGGATTATCCACAAATTAAGGATGGATCAAAATTGATTTGCACTGTTCTACCATCAACAGTCACTCAGAAGCAGCCGGACGACCAGAATGTTCTTAAAAATGCAATGTACAAATTCCTGACAAATTATTATAGCGCAGCAGATGCCTTGAAAATCCTCACACCGTTCATGAAAGTAAGTTTGCTTCAACCATTGCAGCACAGTAATATAGAAAGAACCACAGGCTGATTTTACTCTATGCAGTAGGCATTCAAATGAAGAAATTTAAAAATCTGTATTGTACCATCAAAAGATCAATACTTTTGCAAGCCTTCAGTTCCCAAGATAAAAAATTTAAATTTCTTTCCATCCTATCTTCAAAATACATGCTGACAATTTAACAAAGCACGAGGGCTGGTTCAACAACACTGCAACAAATGCATCCAAGGTACGGAATACTGTTAGGAGATAATCCGGATCAGTATTGATTTCTGATGATTAAGGTTCACACAAACATAGAAGCCACTTTTATAGCTCTCTGCAACACCCAGCCGCCAAAGTCCCCTATCTCCCCAAAGCCTTTCAGAGAGATGGCACTCCCTCATTTCTTCTAAAACTCCCTGTCGCCACCCCTTCATTGGACGTCCCCTTTGTCTCTTCCCTGGAGGAACCCAATCAAGCATCTGTTTCAGCAGCCTCTCTTCCGTCGTTTTGTTAACTCGACCAAACCAGACAAGCTGTCTGGTTATGACTACGAATATCATATCATTTTCAAAGGTCTCTTATCTCAGTTCTTGAGAGAAAAATGGAAGTGAGATATGACTGTAAAGAATTTGTGGACTGTGAAATATACTCTAGTCTAGGGGCCTTCTGAACCACTGGCCAGAATTTCAGTGCATGAAATACTAGATTTTAGACATCAGGTTGGGATTCTACAACTGAAATCACACAAATGCAAACAGCCATTCCTGAAAGCAGCATTTTTAAGCGGACATATTTGATTTAAGATTATTTATTGATGAGATCCGAACATTGATCGCGTTTTCGAATTCTGCGACCCTGAAAACCTGACCGTTGACACCTCACTGAGTACCTAATGATGCATAATACATTGATTCACATTGACCCTAAACAGTAATTTCAGCCGCTATATTGAATTTCAGCCATACCCTGATGTTGAGGATAATTTCGGACCGCTGAATCAGGTTTTACAACTAGAAATTTACATTAACTGACACCTTACACGGCATGTTTCCAACAGAATTTTTTTTTTTTTTTTCATTCTGAAAGGGTCAATTTTGGGGTCATATTGGATTCAGGTTAGGTAACCCTGATGTTGAAATTGATTTCTGACCGCAGATTTGGATTGTACGACCATAAATACACGACAATCGACATCTTATACGGCGTATTTCCGACAGAAATTTTTTTGTCTAATTTGAAAAGGTCATTTTGGCCGCCATATTGAATTTAGGCCTTTTCCTAGTACTTGGGATGGCTTCTGACTTCAGATTTGGATTTTACGACCAGAATTACTTGATAATCGACATTTTTCACGGCATATTTCCGACACATTTTTTTTTTATTCTGAAAGGGCCATTTTGGCCGCCGTATTAAATTTAGGCCTTATCTTGATACCTGGAGTGGCTTTTGACGTCAGATTCGGATTCCACGACTAACAATACGTAATAATCGACACTTAACATGGCAAATTTGGGACATTAATTTATTTTATCACGAAAGGGTCATTTTGGCCGCCATCTTGAATTTTTGGGGAGAGTTGCATGAAATTTGAGCCATCATCAATTATCGACAGGCAATATATTGATGGTATTGAGTCAGTTATTACAGTTTCTATACGAACTGGAACTTGGAAAGTAAGTTTTTTGAAAATATCACTGAACTGGAAATTGCAAAAAGTGAAATTTGTTGCAAAATTTACGGGATTGGCGGGGCTTTGCAGGTTTGAACTTAACTGAGCATGTAAGTAGAAATATGAAGAAGTTTTTTGACTCTCAGTTGAAGCAGTTGAGTCACTGAGGTTATAGCAATGCTCTTGTAAATTATTTAGAATTTGTCAAAATTTACGAAATTTGGGGGAAAAGAAATTTTTTTCTCATTATTAAAGGGCTTAGAGGTCCATATTTTATTTCATCTCACGTAAAATTTTGTATTCAACATTTTTGGTCCTGTGACAATTTTGCATATCTTTGAAAATTTTCGAGTAAATCGTGGAGTTTAGGGAGCACTTCCGGATCCTTTGATTTTGGACATGGCGGTCATGTTGAATATGTTGTCCCGGGATACAGATATTTTGATTGCTGGATAAAGGTGTCCCAAGGTGGCACGCGAAAGTGACTTCGTGGCCCCTAGACTACTCATAAAGATAGCCATAGGTAGTTAAGATAAAAAACGAAACCATGGAGATTCAGCTCATGGTTCAGTTTTCTTTAATTGTATGTCTTTTTAGGTAGATTTCGAAGAAATATCTACCTATTGCAGACGGTACGACCTCTTAATTTTCGAGAATTTTCGCTCAAAGAGCATCGATCCTGAAGCCCTGAGTTAAAAAATGTAGGTCAGAAAAAAAGTAATATATATATATATATATATATATATATATATATATATATATATATATATATATATATATATGAGACCTAACAAAACTTTGCGACCGTTTTTTTCCGAAACTATATATACGATCAAAACGAAACTAAGCATGATTATTCACTGCTATGAGGTCTACATCAAGTTTCTTTATTGGTGAAAATCGGCCCATCCCTTAAATCAGTAATGTCAAGGTCAATATTGGATGATTTTTCGAACTCTTCCGATCCTAGTCGGTGAAAACTCAAAAAACTCGTCTCGTCGTGGCCTTCAAAACAACCCATATTCACCTACCCTCTAAAACCACCCCTTATCCAGAAAATCTCAAAACCAAAGGGGATGATTTTTCGAACTCGTCCCATCTAAGTCGGTGATACCTCAAAAACCTCGTCTTGTCGTGGCCTTCAAAACAATCTATATTCACATACCCTCTAAAACCACCCCTTATCCAGAAAATCTCAAGTTCAAGGGGGAAATTTTTCCGACCTGTCAGGCTCATTAGGCGCAACTGTTTTCATAGAACCGATTAGTGGAAATCTACCTTTCGTTTCCACTCTGGCTGGAAAGAGTTTTTTTCTCCACAAAAACTAACCAAGAAATCAAGAGTGATTGCGGATTTACTTTCTCCCGAAAAGGAGGGGTATCGATGAGGGCCGTTTTTGGGCCTACCCTGAAATTCCTTGACTCCACGACTTTTTGCTCATTGCAGGTCTATATTTTATAGAATGCATCATAATGTGGTTATTTTCCATCTATATCTGGGTCTAATACTTGCCTAAACATGGGCCTGAGAGCCGATTTCGGCGAAAAGTGGGGGTTTTTCGGCATTTGACGAGCCATTCCACAACGATCTCATCAGAGGAGCAAAAAGTCCTTCAAGTATATTCATTGGAGATGGAAGAGAGTCACTTTGTCCAATTCTCGTGGATGTCAAACCTTCCGCTCATAGTTAAGAAAAACGTTTTAGAATTTTCATGGTTTTAATCATTATTTAAAATGGCTCACCAAAGGTGACTCATCTTATGAAACGGCTTCAACTCTAGGGACCAGATGGGATGCCCTAAAATTTAGCCAAAAATTCACGTTTCTCAGTTGTCAGGAGAAACATGGGGGGGGGGGATTTTTCCACCACTTGAGGTAGGAATAAAGAGGCCTCAAGTCCTCTGTGAATTAGCGAAGATTTTATAGTTGCCAGACTCAAGAGCTGAATTGTACACGGGAACAGACACTTAAAATTCCAAACCTGGGTCCATTTCCACAGCCCCCCCACAATCGAATCTTAAATAAAAAATTATATCATAATTTTGTGCTAATTTTGTGCTATTTTGTGCCGCAAATTAAAAATTCTGTGCTGCAAAATTAAGGGGGGAAACGCTCCTCAAAATTGGGGGGGCTGTAGAAACGGTAGCCCCCCCACTTTCGAATTTTCGAAAAAAAAAAGAATGCCTTAATTTTGTGCTAATTATGTGCTATTTTGTGCCGCAAGAAAAAAATTTTGTGCCGCAAAATTAAGGGGGGTAGCAGCATTTCAAATTGGGGGGGGGCTGTAGAAATGTTTGCCCCCTGTTTTGATTTCTCGGAAAAGGAGTATGCCATAATTTTGTGCTATTTTGTGCCGCAGCGAAACATTCAATTTTTTCAAATTTAAGGGGGGTAATGGGCACATCAAATTTTGGGGGGCTGTAGAAATGTTAGCCCCCCTTTTTTATTTCTTTGAAATGGAGTATGCCGTAAGTGTTTGCGAATTTTGTGCTATTTTGTGCCGTAGCGAAACATTCAATTTTTTCAAATTTAAGGGGGGTAACGGGCATATCAAATTTGGGGGGGGGCTGTGGAAATGTTTGCCCCCCTTTTTGATTTCTTGAAAAAGAAAGTATGCCGTAATACTCTCATAATTTTGTGCTATTTTGTGCCGCAAAAAGAAAATTTTGTGCTCCAAAATTAGGGGGCTTAAATACCACCCCAAATTAAGGGGGAGGGTCGCAGGTACGGCAGCCCCCCACTTTCGAACTTCGAGAAAAAAGCACGTCATAATTTTGTGCTAATTTTGTGCTATTTTGTGCCGCAAAAAGAAAATTTTGTGCTCCAAAATTAGGGGGGTTAAATACCATTTCAAATTGGGGGGCTGTAGAAACGATAGCCCCCCACTTTCGAATTTCGAGAAAAAAAAGCACGTCATAATTTTGTGCTAATTTTGTGCTATTTTGTGCCGCAAAAAGAAAATTTTGTGCTCCAAAATTAGGGGGTTAAATACCACTTGAAATTGAAGGGGCGGGGACTGTAAAACAAGTTAGCGCTCCGTCGGAACCCGAATCTTCCGCTCCGGAGACGCAGGCTCGCAGGTAGCCGGAACCTTTGGCAGCGCATTGTGGTCACATCTCTCTCCGCTTTGACTTCTGCTCTTGGAAGCGGACGGGAAGGGCCAAGCACCGTGGCAACTCAAGAAAGATCCGGGCGGGAGATCCGGCGCTCTTTGCACGGGATATTTAAACAGAGAAATTTACCCTAATCATTAAGGAGCCTTTTCGGGGGTTATATACCGTTGAGTGTCAGCGAGTTTCAAACCGAATGTTGTTCTACTGTTA